TCATCTACATTTACTTGGGCATCCTTCTTTTTGTTGAGTTTAGACTGTCTAATTTCAACTAAATCATCTTCCAAATCACTACACTCTTCAATGTTCTCATCTATATCAAACAGTGAGTCAGACCCTTCAGAATCATCAAGGTCCTCATCAGATTCAGATTCTGATGTTTGAAGGTGATAGGAAGAGAAGTTATTAGTTTCACCTTCATCTGATTCTTCTATCTCTTCATTTAACCCACTATCATGCCCCTCTGTTTGTATAGTGGGGTCTAGTTCAGTTATGTCCTCAACAAGAATAGGCTCACTAATTTTATGGACAATACAAACATCAACAAAGTCACCACCTTTCGATGTATTAAGAAAATTTAACACATCAGCATCTGTTTTTAAAATGAAAGAGGCACCACTTTTGTTAACTTTACATCCAAACAAATTCACTTCTAAAAATCCTAAGTCCCTAGCAAACTTGTGAAACAACATAATATGTAGCTCATCCACATCAACTGTAGCTAAGTGAGGACAGGTTAGTCCATTTGCATACCTTAGGTCAGGGTCGGATACAAAATTACCACTGTGGTGGATTTGTAGGTTAACTAGGGTTGAAGCCATTTTCTTTTCATACCTGCAAAGAAACAAAAAAAACAGTGTTATCAATGACTATTTGTTATCAAAAGTTGCACCTTTACACAACTCCACAAACAAACCAACAAAAAAGACAGATTTTTAAAGTAAAAGCATCCAAGATTCCTTTTTCGTCCCCACAATGCCTTATAATATTCAGAAAATACTGTGGTGGACCGCTAACATGAACGAGACCCAAAAAAAACCCAAGACACTAGGATGAAATTCTGATTTGAAAACAAAAACCCAAAACACTAAAGAGAATAACCAAATATGCCATTACATGCATGACACTACATTAAAAAGGCCTTTCACTCTAACATGTAGCAAAACACAACAAAAGCCCTATATATTAACGGATATTAAACAGCAATTACGACCTAACCCAACCTCCCCCTAAAAAACCCTAAACAGAGCAAAATCCCCATAAATAGAAGGAAATGAAGAACAATAAAGACAAAATATGAAGAATAAATGAAGAAACTTACCCACAAACTTTGATAACAACTGTACAGATGAAAATCCCGGCAAGAACGACGGAGAAGAGAGGAGCGACTCACTGTTGTTCGATACTATCTAAGCCCTAATTTAGCGGGGTAATTGTAAAATGAGGGGAAATGTGGGTTGGGGGGTAAATAATTTTTTATCCTATTTGGCCATCAGATGTGACTTGGAGCCTACGTGGATATATTTTATTGACGTGGCATCCTACGTGTAGGCGATTGTCAAACACGCACTGGCAGCCTCATTGGATAAGCGTTTATTATTCATGTTTTGAATGAGTATAAGTGTTTAATTGGCAAATATGTAAGTTTGGGGACCGGCATGACAAAGTGGGTGAAGTACAGGTGCCATTTAGGCCATTCTGCCTATGATAAATGATGATAAATAATCAAATGTAATGTATCATCCTTGTCGTGCCTTTCACTCTTCAATATAGTGCCATGATCACAAACTCAACTTTCAAAATTCTGATATCTTCAAAATAACAATAAATATGAGACGAATAACTAAAAGTAATAATCTAACATAAGCATGGAGAACATAGTTAATGAAACCATATAATACAAAGAAATAATTTCCACCCGCATGCTTTTACCCAATGACAACGTATATATACTCGTCACCTCACATATACGTCGTCCCCACATATAATACACATAACAAGTCCTAATTCCTCAAGTCAAGGTTAACCACGAACCTCACTTCGCAACCAAATCAATGCTCAACCGCGACTTTTTCTCTAGAATTAGCCTCTAAACCAATCAAATCTAGCCAAATATAGTTCAAATAATTCAATATAGGCTTTAGAAACTACCCATGAGTGAAAAAGCTTTAATTTTTAATGATTTTGAAAAAAGATAACAAAAGTCAGTCTCGGGCCCGCTTGTTCAAAACTCGAGATTCGGACCAAAACCCATATACCCATTTACCCCCGAGCCCAGTTATGTAATTAGTTTTGAAATTCGACCTTAATTTGAGGTCTAAATTTCGATTTCTCAAAATCCTCAATTTCAACCTAAATTCCTAATTTCTACCATGAAGAATCATATATTAAAGGTTAAAATCAATGAGTGTTTATGGAAATGTAATAAAACAAGTTAAAATCTACTAACCAATGAAGTTGGGACAAAAACCTCTTCAAAATCGCCTCTAGATCGAGCTCAAACTTGAAAATGGTGAAAAGTGAAGAAAATCCAGACTTTTGAAATGTTTAATACCTGGGCGTCAGGTGTTCTTCGCGTTCGCAAAGCACCTGACCATTCGCGAAGAATCGGCGGCCAAAGGCCTTCGCATTCGCAAAGGCTTACTCCCTTTGCCTTCGCGTTCGCGAGCCAATGAATGCGTTCGCGAAGAGTAATGGACAGACTTCCTCCCAGAACCCATAACCCTACGCGTTCGTGAAGGGGTAAGCCCCCCACTACTTTGTGTTCCCGATTGTGTCCCCGCGTTCGCGAAGAACAATTTCGACCCCACCCAAGTTTCTCCTTCGTGATCACGAGAGAAGCTTCACGATCGCGAAGCACATCACACAAGACACTAGAAACTGCTAAAAACCAGCAATCACCCTAGTCCGAAATGGTTCAATATCAATCGATGTTTCGGATAGGGAAAGGGTAATAAATGTATGATGTTTCGGATTCGGTAACTACCGGGGGTGATCAATCGACGGCTGACGCGTGTCCAAATTCAGAGCGATATGACTGATGGGATGTTTTAGTTCGTCAGCTTGCTCATGGTATGCGAGAAAAGGAACCGGGGCCAATTAGTCACTTCTCATCGCTCCTACATTCTACTCTCTGAGAAGTGAGGGGACTATCTGCATACGAGTAAAATCGGGTATAGAGTTACCCCCGATTTCCAGTTGGGGAACGAGGAACAACGTTACTTGTTACTGGCTTGAGCGAGACCGAAGGTACCCATAGATCAGAACCAAGGACAAATGATACGACGGTTCTGGGCATGGCCAATCCCTGAAAGAATCAAGCTCGAGGGTAAGGAAAGACGGTTAAAGGAGATAAACTGGGGAACCGAAATGTCCGCCATCAGCCGGATATTGCGGCGCGGATCACGCCCAGTACTGGATAAAGATCATATTTTCGTGGGAAAAGGGGAAGAAAAGATTTTTACCTTATTTAGACTTGTATTAGGGTTAAAACTTCTCTACCATATAAATAGGAGAACCCTTTCATTTTTTGGTCACTGTTGGCACGCATATCAAAGAAATAAAATTTACTTTGGCTTTTAGCAATTGTTAAGTGTTCTTTAGTTGCTCATTCATTTAGCTGGAACCGAGCTCTTTCTCGAGGGCTCGATTGAAACTGCCCGGAAGCATTTAAATCTAAAGCAAGGCTTAATTACTCCGCCATATTTGGTTTGATCATTTTATCTCTTTTCAATTTTTAATTACTTAATGTTTTTTTTTTATCATTTATGTTAAATTGAATCATGTATCTTTTAAACCGCGTACAAATTTGATTATTATTCGTTTTAAGGGGTAGACAAATAGGTTGATCAGTTGGGGATTAGTTGTGGACTCCAGATGTGCTCTATGCCAAGGACATGATGAATCAAATACAGAGTTAATATAGTTATAGTGATTGCTGGGAACACCATCTAAACTGGGCTATTAAACAAGCTAAAGGGAAATCACAGAGGGCTAGTATCTTCAGGATGAACTTATTCATGCAGTTTCAATAGAGAGAAACTTGAGAAAGTGATGGAGTTGCAAGAGAGACAGCCTATGTATGCAATATACGAAAAAAAAAGTTTTGGAACAGAAATCATGGGATAAATTTACAAAATATTCAATTTTATAAAAATATCTATAAAATTGATGTAACGTGTATGTAAATGTCTGTAGAAGTTAGAACTCACAAAGAGTTTCGATAACTAATGCTGGACATAGAATGAAATGTTTTAGAACACAAAAGCAGATAGCTCTACTGGGTATCATTCTGCAGCAAAGAACATTTCAGATAGCTAAATTTTATTATAAGTCTAGTCCATAAGGGCTTTACATGACACCAAAAGAAAAAGAAAAAAAAAGGGAAGAAGAAGAATGTCTTCTGTCAATTTTCAAGGTTTTCAATCAACTGAATATCATAATTGATACAAATCACAAAGTTTAAAAAGATCTTGGTTTCATCACAATGGTGGAATGCTTCAAAATGTGCAGACTGAATTGCCCGCCTTTCTCTGTTGTGTCAAGCTTTGACTGTCCTGGAGGAGGCAACAGCTCAAAGTTCTGCACCAAGCGTCCCAAAGTAATGCCAAGAATTGGCAATGCAAGGATAATTCCAGGGCAGCTCCTCCTACCAACACCAAATGGAAGATATCTGAAGTCATTGCCATTAGCCTCAACGTGCTTCTCCTCTTCGAAGAACCTCTCTGGCCTAAACTCTTCGGGCTTCTTCCAGGTAGCGGGGTTGTTAGCCAGCCACCAAGCGTTTACCAGGATCTTGCTCTCCGCGGGAATGTCATATCCAGCAAGCTTCGCATCGTGAAGGTTCATGTGTGGGACTAAAAGAGGGATTGCCATACGGAGACGAAGGGTCTCCTTGATCACAGCCTGAAGGTAAGGAAGCTTGTTGAGTTCTGGCTCAGTGATTTGCACTCCTACTCCAAGAACACTGTCAATCTCGTCACGGAGTTTCTTCTGGATTTCAGGGTGGTTCACTAGTTCAGCAATACCCCACTCAATTGACCACAGTGTAGTTTCTATTGCTGCTCACAATCACAACAAAAATTCAACATATTAGCATAGTCATTAAAGTGCCATTAATGAAACCATAAGAGCAAATGTATTTCATAAAGAAGCATCCTAGCATTTATTGGAATCACACATTTTTCTCAATCACTATAGACAGAAGTCTTAGAAAGCCAAAAGAAAAGAACTTTTCATTAAGTGCTGGACCATCACATTTGTGGTATTGTTTTCTAAAAACAGGATCTTAAAACAGGAACACCGCTATTTCTCGAATGAAACTTCTCTACCTTCATTCAAATAATTCAGAATCAATCTGTTGCCGTTATCAAACATGAAATAGCATGTACTTCTAGGTCAGCCATCGATATCGAAGGACAGTATTGTAAGGTAGATGTTTCTACATAGGCACCCAAAATCGCAGTTGATGCTGCTTCACCTAGAGTACCCCCTAAAAATTTGAGCAGTTGGTACAACCAACCCACTAGACGACGTTAAATATCAAACTATGACCTATGAAGAAAGCCCCCTTTTCTCATCCAAAAGTTATAATCATGGGGCCTAAATTGAAATGAGGAAACATGTCCACCTATAAATCAGTTATTTAGGCAATAAAAAATGATTAATAATTATGACAATATTATAAAATGGATGAGGATGTGTCATTATCGTTGTATGTTACGCCTGGCTTTCTTCCTAATTCTACTTGTTGATGTGATCAACCTTTCAACCTCATTAAAAGGCTGTTTAAACTCATCCAAGAATGGAAGTCATTAGAAAACCAACCCATTAATCTCGAAAACCTAGACTTGTACTTTATAACTTGCCATATTTTAAGCTTAAGCATAAAATATTAACTAATCATTTTACCACCCAACAGTAAGAATGATGAGAATGTAAAAAGAGAGCTTATCATAACTCAATAAAAGGGGAAACAAGGATATTTGAAATATACCAGCAACATTGATGTTCTCAACAATGTAAAGGACATTATCCTCATTGATCTCTCCCTTCTGTTCAGCCTCAAGAATGTGATCAATGGCACACTTTAGCGCACTATTGTCCATGCTCTTCGTTGTGTTTGCAAGTTTCCTATAAACAAAAGTTGCCATGAGAATTCATTAGGAGACCTAATTAAGATGTCCTATAGCAATTTACAAACTACACGGCCATTCTTCTCATTAAACAATCAAAACACAATGACGTAGAGGAGTGTGTTTCTTTTCCCAAGGGAAAAATTTCGTATGATATCCAATTTTGTCTGAATGGTATCTTCTATTTTCATGCTCTTTCTCTTTTTTCTTTTCGGATCTAAAATTGAATCCTAGAGATAAGAGTATATAGACGACGACAACAAAAATAACAACTCAGTAAAATTTCACTATTAGAGTTAACCCTACCCGAGGGAGTAGAGAGGTTGTTTCCGAAAGACGCTAGGACGAAAAGAGACAATATCACTACTACCAATAGAAACCATAGGAAAAATAATATCATGAAAAGGAGAAAGTAGATGAAAAGCAAAAGCAATAGACACTACATAGACAACATTAAAAAAGTGAACTTACTTTCTTTCATCAACAAAGTAATCTTTGAAAAGCTGCAACCTCCTCTGCTTAACTTCCTTACAGATGTTCAAGTAACCTCTCAAGAAAGGTCTCAAAATAGGGATAAAATCACCATAATTGTACTCAAAACTCTGAGCCAATCTACTCCTCTCTCCATTCAAAGCCTTGAGCTTGTTAAACAAAGGATCATCCTCACTCTCAAACCTCCTATCAAACATAATCCTGTACATGTTATTGTACATCATAAGCTGCAACCTTTTCCTCAACACAATCCCATTAGTTGCTGACTCTGGATTTTTCTTCACATCCTCAACAACATGTGCCACTTCATCTTCCCACCCACGCCTATACTGCTGCACCACTTTGTTTGTAAAAAATGGGACTGTCATAATCCTCCTCATCTTCCTCCAGTGTTCACCATATACTGTAAAAACCATATCTTGGCCTTTTCCGGTGAAAATATCAAACACCACATTCCTAGTTCTTGATCCAAATTCAACCCCTTGTGTATGCAAAACTTCTTTCGCTAATTCAGGGGATGATACAACCACAAGATTCCTCTGTCCCATTCTTAACAAGAACATGTCACCAAATTTCTTGGCATATTCAGTGAGGTTTCTGTGATTCAAATCATCACCAACTTGAAGCCAATTGCCAAAAATTGGCACAGGAATTGGACCTGGGGGCAGCTTAAATTTCTTGCTACGTAACTTAGAAACAACTATTGCTACAATGATAGCAAAGAATAAGCCTATAAGGGTCTTCTCTAGAAGGAGAAGATCCATCTTTTGGAGAGCTCAAAATGGCACAAGAGTATAATAAATTTTATAACAAAGAGGAATAGTTGCAGTTATTGTTCCACCTGTTGAGTTTAAAAGTGAGTAATGTGTGATGTTTTATATAGGGAAAGAGGTTAGGTGGAGAATGTGACGGCGTTAATATTAACGGAGAGTTGGGTGGTGGATTGGGGTAGGTAGAAACCTGGGAGTTGGTGAGCCATAAGAAAGAGTAAGCCGGCCCTCTCAATTTCATGTGTTAAAATGAATTGAATTGAACTACTCAACGTTCGTCCACATTTTCAAACAAGTAGGTGGCGACCACGTAATTTTCTGCTTAAGTTTACCTCAGCCAAGAAAATTAGAAATGTCCTTTCGGGGACATCCGATAAAGAAAATATATTCTCCCACCGTTCCAATTTAGATAACGTAATTTGATTCGGCACGAAGTTCATAATATCATGAATTGATGTGACGGCCTTGTATGGGTCAGAATCCGACCCTACAATAATTAACGAAGTTAACCCCGTTTCAAGCTAATTCATGATTAATTAGTGGTACGACCACTCAGAATTGACGATGTTCAACCCGCATCCGGCTCGATCAACAAGGCCATGGCCTGTCCGCCACCATAAAGGCGAGATCCCAACGTGGTCACGGCCACTTATTGCCAGCTCACGAAGCCCACAGCTATAAATACTAAGAGTAGAAGCCCTAGAAAGAGGGGGCTGCTTCTTCTCCACTATAGACAGGAGAGAGAAGGGAAAAATATACCCATCTTATGGGAAGAGAAAACACCATTGTAAGGCTCTGAACCTCTTCATGGAGAGGCAGACCAAACAAATATTATCAATAAAGGTTTCGAATGTTTCTCCCCCTAAGTCTGAGCACTTATTTTCGTTTCTTTCATTTGGTCCAACGGATTATTACGATTTGCTATGATTTTCCCGTGATTATTTGTATTGTTTTGCACTCATAAGATATGTAATAACTTTTGAGCAAACAGGCCTAATTCTGAACTGATGGAACGGTTCAATGAGATTCTTGAAGCGTCACGTCGCTACCTTGCCATAAGGATCTCGACCCTCGCATAACGATCAAATTTCTCCTAACTTTTGAATCAACAAAATCCGCCCATCGAGCTCGCCAAGAGGCGACCCCAACAGGAGGAGGGACTAACTGTATGGGTCAAAATCTGATCACAAACGAATTACCATTAAAGGGAATGGAAAGGGGCCAACCAAGCCATGGACGTACCCGAAAGGCGTAATGGCGACGAGTGTCTCGGTCACTGCCGAGATCGAGCCATCGAAAGGCTTTCACGGCAGAATATATGCAGTCACGCTTGAGCGAGTAAAAAGGGGTATAGTCAAGTAGGGGTATGCTGGTTAAAGACCGTTGGGCAAAGGGGAAGATGGCAATATATATATATATATATATATATATATATATATATATATATATATATATATATATGACCGAAGAAGGCAAGAAGAGGGGGGCTCTCCCAGGGAGAAAAAGGAACAGAACAACCGGAGGAGACCTCCAACAACAAAGTAGAAGTCTAGATTTTGGTTACAAGCTTTTGTAGTCATTACTATTGAATCAATAAAGATAGATCTCTTAGCTCTCAACGAGATTCCTTCTCTTTCTTCTTCGCTCTTTCACATACAAAGCAATTTGGTGTCAAAGATGTAAGCTTACCATTTACATTTGATGTTCTTTAATCATCCTAAGGAATGTTATGCAAGCTTGGTCTCATGTGATTCTCGCATTCAATATATTTAGATCTAAAGTTAATTATGTTTGGATAAGATTTATCCTCTATTTTCTTCATTAATTAGTTTAACTAAAAGGCTCAACACTTTTTGGTCAAACAATTTGGCGCTGTCTGTGGGGATTTCTTAGCCAAATTTTTTAGTTCCCTTTAGATCTAGAACTAGCCAAGTATTACTTCCAAGCTATCACAACCTCACCATCTCGGTATGAACACCAACTCGAAAAGAATGGTAGATAAGCTTTTAAGGTAACCGTACCAATCTAGGTCAGATCTCTACATAAAATATAAATTGTGACCAACGTTTATGCAGAACCCACGCCTCACCTGTAGCGATGGGTTAGGCTTGTCATATGCATGTTTAAAGTAGAATCACGGTCACTATGCGCTTGGCATGACCGCATTCCCATTTGACATATTCACCTTGTATACCAGCCTGTACTTCCATCTCTAGGGAAGGACAATAGCCTGCTATGTGATCCTTCGAAATAGCGGGCATACCCTGCCTTATTTTCGTATCCACACGCACCAGGCGATTTATGAACAAAGTATGACATGTTTCCATTTTATGCGCATATTGGACGGGGTCGGATTGGGACTCGGCATGGGTATCCCAATGGGTGAGGTGAGCCCAACTCATGAGAAGCCTAGACGCGATTAATGGCAAAACCAAACATGGCTGCCAAATCTGAAACCGCCATTCGAGTACGAGGCGAAGCGAGCAACCCTACAGCGCCGCTCCTCCTTTCATCGACTTGCCAGTCCAAGGTAACAGACAATTTCGTTTGGGTTTATCTTATCACACTCTCTTATTGGTTCAAAACAGGAACACGGGCACTCCCGTAGGTACGCAAACAAAGAACGAACGCCGCCAAAACACCCTAGGAAAAGGTTCCTTACCATGCCGTCTCGCGAGAAACGACCGAGTTAAACCCTTTAAGCTGCACCATATTACGAATAACAGAAACGGCTCGGCACAGGTTGATTATTGAAAAACAATCTCCAATCAAAGCAAAGTTAAACAAACTGGGACTCACCCATGAAACACACGGCATTCTCCAATGAAAGCAAAGTTAAGCAAATTGGAACTCACCCATGAACACACGGCATTCTCCAATGAAAGCAAAGTTAAGCAAACTGGGACTCACCCATGAAACACATGGCATTCTCCCAAAAAAAAGGAAAGTTCGACCTCGTTCGAATTTATAACGGGTTACAGTTTCGACCTCGCTCGAACTAACACCCCTATGGCCATCGGCGATTGCCAAATGAGAGGAAAGTTCGACCTCGTTCGAAATTACAGCGGGTTACACTTTTAACCTCGCGCGAACTAACACCCCTACGGCCATCGGCCATCGCCAAACAAAAGGAAAGTTCAAGCTCGTTCGAATTTAAAGCGGGTTACAGTTTCGACCTCGCTCGAACTAATACCCCTACGGTCATCGGCCATCGCCAAAAGGAAAGTCCTACCTTGTTCGAATTTACAACGGGTTACAGTTTCGACCTCGCTCGAACTAACACCCCTGCAGCCAGCGGCCATCGCCAAAAGGAAAGTTCGACCTTGTTTGAATTTACAACGGGTTACAGTTTTGACCTCGCTCAAACTAATACCCCTACGGCCATCGGCCATCACCAAACAAAAGGAAAGTTCGACCTCATTTGAATTTATAGCGGGTTACAGTTTTGACCTCGATCGAACTAACACCCCTACGGCCATCAGCCATCGCCAAAAGGAAAGTTCGACCTTGTTCGAATTTACAACGGGTTACAGTTTCGACCTCGCTCGAACTAACACCTCTACAACCATCGGCCATCGCCAAGCGAAAGGAAATTTTGACCTCGCTCGAATTAATACCCTTACGATCATCGATCATCGCCAAGTAAAAGTAAAAATTTGTCCGAGATGGAGACTCCAAATACGACCTCGTTCGAATATGTCAGAAATTGACTCCGCCCAAGGTGGCGACTCCAAATGCAACCTCGTTCGAATATATAAGTCAGAAACTTTCGCCCAAGGTGGCAACTCCGAGTTCAACCTCACTCGATTACATAAGGAAAAATTAACTTCACCTAAATTAGTAAGTCGGAATTCAATCCCACTCGAGTGTACAAGTCGAAACTGACTGCGCCAAGGCGGCGAGTCTAACTTCGACCTCGTTTGAATTAAGGTTGGTTCTGCCTAAGTTGGCAAATCAGAAGTCAACCTCGCCCGAACTTGCAGATCCGAAGTGACTTCATTCGGACTCAAACGATGAGATCCTATGCGATCCGGGAAAGGTCGAATTCCCAATTAAAAAGACCAGGGACTCATCACAAAGAAAATCAAAAGATACACGAACGACGAAGCAACTATTTCATTCAAGTATACATGCGTGACAACAGCGCCATGTAAAAGGTCGAAACGGGTCCTTAGGAAAAAGATGAAAATAAACAACAAAAGAACAAAAAAATACTAAGTATAAAGGTGGCAGCAAAAGCTTCACTCAGCGTCTTCCCCACTGCCGTTCTCCCCAACATTCTCATCATCAAAAGAAGTGAGCCCGTCCTCGACATCAATCCCCTCACCAGCCTTCGGCGTTGCAGGGTCATAATCGCAGGCAGTGCAAGCCTCGCGCGCCTTCGCCCGAGCATCTTCAAAGGCGGCCTCTAGGATATTCCCTGCCTCCCATAAACCCTTATATATATCACGTTGGGCCTCGGCATGAATCCATGGCTTATACAGGCGGCGGGGAATAGTGGCCGAAGCATACTCTTGAGGGGGAGCTTGAGCCAATAACTGCGCCTTCTCAACCTCGAGAGCTGCAACTCGGTCTCCAAAGATCGAAGCGTCTCGATCAAGTTCACCAATTCGCTCCTCGAGCCGCGCCTCCCTTAGCGTGGTCGTCGCTCTCTCAGGCTCCTGTTCAGATCTGAGGACACGAATAGTATCCTCTAGAGCCGCCGCCCTCGCCAAAGCCGACACTCGAGCGTCCTCGGCTCTTTCCATCTCGGCCACTTTCTTTTCTAGCTCGGCCACTTTCTCCGTCCATTCCGCACTCAAAGCATCGACCTTAGTGGCATTTTGCTCGAGCTCAGCTCGTAGAGACGATACCTTCGCCTAAAGGTCCACGTACTCTGCGGTGACCCCTTTGCCCACCTCAAGCTCTTCATCCTTGATATGAAGTTGCTCTTCAAGCTCGTTGCATATGCGGATAGACTGTATCAGTTCCTCATCTCTTCTCTCCAACTCCTCCATGATGGATTGGGAGCCAGGCACCCGCTCTGAGCTACTCATGCATCTCGCGGCATCTGTTGCAATATCGCCGATACTTCTCAGCCATTTTCAGAAAGATCTTGGCCCGCGTCTCGGCCCTACGAGCACTCTTAACCTCCAACATGTAAGTCTAAATAAAGCAAGAAAGAGTCAGTGTAAAATCAAAAAGGTCACGAAACTAAGAAAATAAAGGGGAACTCACCTTAGGCCCATCGCGGCCACACCACGTGATAGCTCGGAGTCGC